AAATAGTGCAAAACTCGGAGAATAATTTGTGCTATTATAAATTGAAATTTGGCGTGTGGGGAAGGGCCATGGTTAATTTGGCCCCCCAGTAATACTTCTATATAGTCTCTACCCTGAGGGGGTGCAATTTTTTTTTTCGGGTGATGCAAAACGGTGCAAAATGGGTGCAAAAAAATGGTATAAGTTTTAATGGATTTGAAAATATTGGGGGGGGGGGGGGGCTAACCTAACTGACACGTAAATCAGCTAAAGTGCTAATACTTGTTTTCGGTACATATAATAAACACACTAACTTTTCTATATCAGAAAGTGTATTGTCCAAGTTGCCAGTGATATCTCTACTAGAAAAACAGTTATGACTTTTCAAAATTTTCCAAAATCTAAATCATAAGGTAGCTAGCTATCTTCTTACTAAAACGATGAAATTTCAAATTTTTATTTTGTTGAGACTTTGTGTCCTAATGGAGCCGGATTCTATGAAAAAAGACACTCAGAAAATTTCGCTCCCGCTCATTACCCGCGTATATCCTGGAAATTATAGGTAGTACCAATATACATCGTTTGGGGACCCTCACTTGACTTGCAAATTACTTTGGAGGTGGTTTAGGGGGGTGAAACTAATAATTGCGATTCATTGAAAAAAAGGTTTTTGTGAAAATATGGACATTTCCACCCTAGTCTGGAGAACAAACAGTACTGAAAATTTTAGGCAGTACCAAAATACATCGTTTGACGACCATCACTTGACTTGCAAATTACTTTGGAGGTGGTTTAAGGGGGTAAAACTAATAATTGCGATTCATCGAAAAAAGGGTTTTTGTAAAAATATGGACATTTCCACCCTAGTCTCGGGCACAAACAGTACGGGAAATTATAGGCAGTACCAAAATACATCGTTTGGGGAACCTCACTTGACTTGCAAATTACTTTAGAGGTGGTTTAAGAGGGTAAAACTAATAGTTGCGATTCATTAAAAAAAAAGGTTTTTGTGAAAATATGGACATTTCCACCCTAGTCTCGGGTACAAACACTACTGGAAATCATAGGAAGTACCAAAATACATCGTTTAGGGAACCTCACTTGACTTGGAAATTACTTTGCAGGATGTTTAAGGGAGTAAGACCAATAGTTACGATTCATCGAAAAAAGGGTTTTTGTGAAAATGTGGACATTTCTACCCTAGTCTCGGGTACATACAGTACTGGAAATTATAAACAGTACCAAAATACAACGTTTGGGAACCTCACTTGACTTGCAAATTACTTTGGAGGTGGTTTAAGGTGGTAAAACTAATAATAGGGTACTTGCATGGAAAATTAAATTGATTATTGTTTATTGCAAACTGTAGGAAATCGAAAAAAAATCGTTACTTTTTATTTTATTTTGCCCAAATATGATTATTCCGGAAGTTATACAAATATTAAGTTTTGTATATATAGATATACTGAGCATGGTGTGACGTCATAGGATATGAAAAATAGGCACATTTCAAAGCGTTGTTTCTCCGTCAATTCTTGTCTAACAAGAAAAAGAAAAAACACGTGTTGACTTATTTTTCATGTACTTACTATCGAAATCAGCAATAAAAAAATTTGATGCAAGGGGCCTATTGCGATTCATCGAAAAAAGGGTTTTTGTGAAAATATGGACATTTCCACCCTAGTCTCGGGCACATACAGTACTGAAAATTATAGGTAGTACCAATATACACCAATTGGGGAACCTCACTTGACTTGCAAATTACTTTGAGGGTGGTTTAAGTTATGACCTTTCAAAGTTTTCCAAAACTAAATCATCGATGAAATTTAAATTTTTTTTTGTTAAGATTTTGTGTCCTTATGGTCCATCGGAATACCCCGAACTCCATACACTAGATTATTCCAAGATCTGGAGCCGGATTCTATGACAAAAGGCACTCAGAAGATTTTGCTCCCCATTTCTCGCGAATTTCCTTAATGGGATTTTTTCTCGGAACCTATAAGTCCAAATGAGCTAAAATTTTCAGGGATTTTAGTCCGCCACTGGGATAAGAATCGCTGAAAATTTCAGCTTCCTATTTCTGATAGAAAAAAGGTTATGAACTTTCAAAGTTTTCAAAAATCTAAATCATAAATAAATTTCAAATTCTTTTCTGTTGAGATTTTGTGTCCTAGTGGTCCTTCGGAATCCCCGAACTTCATACACTAAATTATTCCGAGATTTGGAGCCGGATTTTATGGGAATTATTTAACATTCTAATGGCTGTTTGCAGCGACCATTTTAAGGGAGGTTTAACGATAATTGACGCCTAAATTGACATTTGTGAAAATAAAGCCATATACCGCAATAAAACTACCCTTGTTTAGATCTAGTTTGCATCTTCCTCTTTGCCTATTATGGTAATCAAAATTGGATAATATTTTTCATCATAAATGTATAATCTTAACAATATCAACTACGACCGCTGGCGCAAACCGCTAAAGACGCCGTTAATGACGTCGGCAACGGTGCACAACCGTCAACCATATGAACTTGATTCCAAAAATCGACGCCGATTAGCAATCCTGTAGTAGTGAGTAATATCTGTGGCGTAGCCTAGCCGAGTTCAGAAATGCGCGCTTTCCAACGCTTTATTTTTTGTTTTGGAGTGTTAAATTCATTACGATACAACGACGAAACAGCAAACAGCCTAATTCATGAAATATTGAAACCGAAAAATACTGGTAAGAACCGATTAATATACATATATTGGTTCCAGTCCAGCATGCCTCACAACATTACTATGAAATATGAGATTCGTTCCGGTTCCGGTCCGCAGAAAAGAAACGGTTCCGTTCCGGTTTTCGTTTCAATATCGTTCCGGTCCGGGTCCCTTATCACACTGGTCGCGTTCACCAGCACTCAATATGCTGAGTGATTAGTAAGCGGCTTTGTTCCAACAAGTGGAATGCACAAGGTAGAACAGTTTTGATTGACCTAGAGCTAATTTTCATCTGTTTTCATTTTCAACAAAGCCGCTGACTAATCACTAAACATGTTGAGTGCTGGTGAATGCGACCACTTTGACAACTTTGACATTTAAAACTGATAAATCAGTAGCGCTGAAATACTTTTTTTTGGATAAATGTGTTGGAATTGCAGATTTTTTCTGTGATTTGCTCGTTCCTGCAAATAGAGCACCTAGTCGGTCATAATAGTTGTATTCCTTTCACACCTAGGAGGAGCTCAGGAACAGCTCCGGGGCTTCACGCGCTTATTCCTTTCGAGAAGTGTTTGTTGCACCACGCATATATGTTCCCTGCAAATCCGGGGCGACTAAGCACCGAAGCGAGTAGCTCGCGAGTGTTTCAAGCTCTTGAAAGGAATACAACTATTTGCAGATGCAAATATACTGTAATTGGGCTATAATAAGGGGGCAACAGCATCCTATGTACATGCGCACATAAACCCATTTTTGTGAAACGCTTTGAAGGTGCAAAAAATACCGCACATCAGAATTGGCTCAAATCTGTCGTAAACCACAAATCTTTGGATTTTCGATCAAAGCATGTTTAGGCAAAATTTTAGCCAGTTGTGATGTGCGGTTTTTTTTTTTTGCTCCTTCGAAGCATTTCACGATAATGGGCCTATGAACACGATTGAAAAAAGACAAATTACATCAGCTGGAGAACGGGTTAATCCATTGATCTCATAGTCGCGGATATACACTCGTCACTCCTTATTTCCTCCCAGTATTTAAATAGGTATTATTATCTTAAATTCTTAAACGAGTAAAAATTGTACGTTTGTATTTTTAGTCATGCTAGCTTGAGAAAGTCTCTAACATTTTCTCGACAGTAGGTATTTAAGGGGTTTTCAACCTCAGGAATGGAAGGCTTGGTCAAATTTCAGCTTTCAGCTCAGGTCAGTTTCCAGCGAGTTTTTCGGTGCTTGAAAATACAATGTTTTATATAGGAGTTTGTTATGTCACGCCTCTTTTTATGCCACGCCTCCCGGCCGTGATATGGTAAGACAGAAATCTGCAATTTTAGATTTCTGCATTTAGTATTGAGCTTCAGCCGCTCATTACTAGATGGCGCCACAACTTTGATGTTCATTTTCAAGCTTCATTTATAGATATTTAGTTTTATTTAGCCTCTAGGTGATATTTTTTGATAATTAAAATAAATAGTCAAAAAATATTGTAATAATTTGACTTGAAAATTTGGAAATATTGATACGGATGCAAAAAAAATCTGGCAACCTTGCTAAGGGCCGGTTTCTCAATACCGACTATAGCGAGTCACCTCCGAGTTGGTTTTAACTCCAGGGTAAACGTGTCCAGTTGCAATATGTTTACCCTGGAATTATGCTTAACCCGGAGTTGACTTGTTATTGAGAAACCAGCCCTAAGGGCCAAAAAAAAGAGACGATAGATAGAATTCTATTTTAAAAAATCGATTCCACTTGAAAATGCACTTTTTATCGATCCCAGGCGGTTGAAAATTGTTGATTTTCCAAAATTATTGTCGATGCAGAATAAATAAAAAAAATAAAAATCGATTCCAATGCTGTACCGTACCCAAGGATGATACACACTACTACCTACTGTTACTGAAGGATAACCTATCCTCATAAGGCCTGTGTGGAACAAATTCCTTCTTCCCCCGCGACAAATCACCGGATGGACGTAGGCTGTTTGCACTACAGGTGATGGATTCGCGAGCTTTTGCTTTATGCCTACTTGGTTTTACTATATTAATTACCATTCTAAAACAACTCTTTTTTAGATCTCGTTTTCATCTTCCTCTTTGCCTATTAGGTATGTTAATCAAAATTAATTAATATTTTTAATCATAAATCTAAATTCTAAACTACGACCTCTAGTGCAAACAGCTGACGACTTGTTAATGACGTTGGAAATGGTGACACACCAATATGGCGGCGATTACCAAAAACGAGGCCGATAAGCAATCCTTAGTAGTGTGTATTATCCTTGTACCATACCTACATTGTGATAGGTTATGTTTATGAATGAGAGTGAGACCATAACCCGATCGACACAATCGTAGATCGGCTTCCCGCTAGTGTTCTATTAAATGTTTAATTTATTAACTAATAAAATAATCAAAATCGGTGACAACATCGCAAAAAAATTCGATGTTCCCTAATAATATCGAATAAAAATCGATACACATCGTGTGCATCACCGAACCATTCCGAAAAAATCCGAACTCGCCCGCCAACCAAAGTCTATATAATCCTCTGTCAAATTAGTTCCAAGTTCCTGTCTTTTCTCTTCAAGTCTCGCAACGAAACAAGTTAATTTTGTTATCTGCGTGTCGAGCTTATTTATTTCCTTAAAATGGACGCTGCAGTCGTGCGGGAAATTTGCAGGCTGTGTCCGAACAAAACTCAGTTAAAAAGTATTTTTGATGAACCCTTTTCAGGCAATATTAATATTAAAGAAGCAATTTTCATTGTTACTGGAATTGAGGTAGGTCGGCCATTAATTTTTGTTAAAGAAGGAGGTACAATTACCCTTGAAAATAGGCCCCCGTAAATTTCAATCAACGAAGTTCAATTTCAATCAAATTGCAATATTTTAAAGGTATCATCATTGCGAAAAAAAAGTTGAAATGTAAAGAGGATCGTATGTCTGTGCTAGCAGATATAGCTCATTAAAGGTCCTGCTATGCTATGCATAGGAAATATCCGAGGAAATATCCCTACGTAGATTTTCTTGAATATGTCGAAAAATACCTACTCATCCGATTTTGATGTTTTTGGGGTCGTTCTGTAGGTATCAAACTCCAAAAAGGTTAAAATCAGACCTAGGTACTTTGATGAGCTATATCTTGCTATCACAGACATCTGATCCTCTTTACATTTCAATTTTTTTTTTGCAATGATGATACCTTTAAAATATTGAAATTTTATTGAAATTTACGGGGGCCTATTTTCAATGTTAATTGTGACTCCTTCTTTATACAGACAAATACCATAAGATAAAAATAAGATTTTGGCATTTGTCATTGTTTGTGACCTTTGATTATACTTCACTAACCTCTTCTGATAATAAGAAGTTTGATTTTTGTTGACTAATTTGCATTTAATTTTGGAAAGTTTTAGAAAAAACGATTGACAATTTCTGAAACTTGCAGCGTGCGCAGCGTCCTATCCTTATTTTAATATTATCTAGTGATGGTAAACATTTTTTCAGAATTTACCTTTTCAGAAAACAAAACTCCCTAATTTTCCCTACCAACCAAAAGAAAAAATCCCTACAATTTCCCCACGCTTTATTTTATATTAGGTTATTGGAAAATAACCGGTCATCGGTTAACCGTTTTATTTTTGTAAGAAAACTAACCTTAGACAAATAACGTTTAGTAAATAACTGATTATCACAATAACTGGCTTATAATTTTCTCTCTCTACACTAGGTACTACTACTTACTATCTCTTTCTATTTTACACAATTAAACAGAGAAAAGGAAAAACGCGCAAACTCGCAAACCACTTATGTCCATTATTTCTTTTCTCTTTTTATTTTGCAAAAATAAACATGGAAAATTCAAATTTCTACTTTCCACATCGTTGGATTATAGTTTTTTTTTTTGTCGCGCCATTTCTGATTATAAATATGGAGGTTGAGTAAAAAATGCATTACATTGGGAATTTTTTGGGAGTTCTTGCGTTTGAAACCATGCCACAGATCACCTAATACAGATGCGTAAGTACCTATACTTGCTGTCGACGATATTCTGTGACGAAGCCGGGCCGCCAGCGGCCACACGCATAAATAAAGATCGCCCGCGTCAGGACAATTAACGTGGCCGAGTGCGTGAGCATGTTCCAGCCTGTGTGTTTACATATTTTTGCGGGTAGAAAAAAATATTTTTTTGCTGTTTGTGAACCAATTAAAGAAATAATATTATATTGTTGAGCTTCCGCATTTATATAATAAATATGTTCAAAACACATTGATGTGGCATTGATGCGGCCAGCCTATGTCTATCAAATTAATCTTGAACCACGAATTCGCCGCTCTTTCGCATCTGTATGTAAGTAATCTGTGACCATGTTATGAGTGGGGACAGATAAGTCAATAGTTTATTTTTCAAAATATCAACCGAACAACCGAATGTCGGTTATTGGTGAGTGAATCCGGTTATTAGGTTAAACTTGATGGAAATAATAACCGGTTTTTAAACGTTAGGTTAACCGGTTATTGGGATAACCGGTTAATTTATCCCTCCTAGTTACAGATCAGCAAGGATAATACACACTACTACTACAGGATGGCCCATCCTCATAAGGCCTGTGTGTAACAAATCCCTCCCTTCCCACCCGCGCCAAATTACCAGTTGTGACGTTGGCAGCATGTTATTTCTCGCCTTGACTTAGGCTGTTTAAACAGTTGATGACGTCGGAAATGGTAACACACCAATATGGCGGCGATTACCACGAGGCCGATAAGCAATCCTGTAGGTGTGTATGTTTCCTTGACAGATCAGTCGGCAGGACCTGCGAGTGACGTCACCACTATTTGCAGCATAGCAGCTTATAAAGGTGACGCCACTCGCAGGCCTCGATGGGATGTGTGCGATTCAGGTTGTGCTTGTTTTTTCTTCGATTTTAAATGTAGACAAGGTGATTTTAACAAAATTACAACTTTTAGGAACTCGTTTTTTTTTTTACCTATACTGTTTTGAACTCGTGTAGTGTACGCCAAGAGTTGACGTCTGCGGCTGAAATGAGAGACGTTTTCAGCTCAATAAGCAGTCCTATTAGGTTAAGTGTTCGTGTCCTAGTCCAACAGTCTTTTCTCGTTAACAGCTAAATCGATAATCGAAATTTGTATTTGACAAAATATCATTTCTTCATTCTTTATTTTACAATATACGACTAATCTCCGAATTTCCCTACATTTTTCTCGAATTTCTATCCCTCTTCCCTACACCAGAAAAAAGGATCAATTTTTTCCTAAATGTAGGGAAATTCCCTACGTTTTACCATCACTGTTCTTATCTGTCGCTGAGTGTGCAATTTATCATAAGTATGTATAAATAATTTTATCAATATTTGAATGAAAATTATTACCATATCCTGTTGGGATACCAAATTTGATATTTTATAAATTAGGAAATCCAAGAAACTGTCAAAATAATGTTTACTTTTCTGAATCCCGATGGCTTATATAAACAAAATTCGGGAATGGTAGGGGCGTAACTACAGTACCTACACGTTCTTAGCTTTGCCTGTGCCAAAAAGAAGGGCCAACGGCTGCACGGGGCCTGTATACTATACCTATTCAGGTACCTGCCTAAAATAATATGGTTATTAGATCATTATATACTGAACTGATTAAGCCAGAAGAAATAGAAAGAGAACTGTGAAGGTTAAGGATCAGTCAAATCTCCCCTCGTTTTACCCCAATCTTAAAACAAATACGTACCCTCTTCCGAGAGACTACTACCGGTTCTTTAATAGGGGCAAACTTGGCGATTCATCCCCGAATGAAAACAAGAAAATTTTAAATGCGTTTATCATATTTGTTTTATTTTGCACAATTTTGCACACTAATTTTTAAATATTCCACTCCTTTGTGGAGAGAGTTATCGACCGAGGGGTGAATAGCTCTTGCAGTCGGTGTACATATTTCTCACCATCCTAACACAATCGTTACACAATCACACACAATTAGACCACAATCGTCAAAAATCTGTCACAATCCGTACACAATCAGACCACAATCGTTCACAATCTGTCACAATCATTCTCAATCTGTCACAATCGTTACAAAATCAGACCACAATCTGTCATAATTGTTAAACAATCTCTCACAATCGTTGAACAATCTCTCACAATCTACCATCTGTCGCACGTGAGGTCCCTCCAATAATTTTACACAATCACTCAGAATCTTAATTCCCTTGAAAGATTGTGGAATTTGGCAGTCGGTGAACAGAGTTACCCTTCTTTCCTTTTTATTTGACACTTCAGAAAAAAGTGTCCCAAATAGAAGTTTCATGGTTGAAATAATTTTTTGAATAACTCACTTTCTCATATACAGGGCTTCAGAAAATCTGGTCGTGGTCCAACTTCCTTATTTCAGGGCCCGGTTTATTCATCTTCAGATAAACTTGCTATTAGCTATCTGCTCGGGTTCACAAGCTTTGTGGACAATCCCCATTACAATAAGTGATTATTAAGCCAACGTTTTGGTAGTGTGATTTCTACCTCGGTTTCTACCTTTCTAGGTTTTAGGGCTACGAGACGAAATAAAAGAAATGGTAATGCTACAGCTGCGAACACATACAAATATGCTTGAAAATGACATGCTTGCAGCTGTAACGTTACCGTTTTATTCTTTTTTTGTTATTGTTGATAAGATGTTCTCAATTTTTCAATGTCAGTCCTTACTATGGATCTATATTTTGGTATTTTTCAATTTAAAACCCTAGTTCTATCCAATTTTTTAAAAAAATCCATGCTAAGTTAGTATGTAGTGTAAAGCAAATTGCTCTTTTTTTTTTCGTAGCCCTGAGGAAGGTAGAATCCACACTACCTTAACGTTGGCCTGATAGTCTAAACTTATTGGTAATGAAAGATTGTCCACAAAGCTTGTGAATACGATCTTTACCCTTTCAAAAATCAATCTAACTGGACGTGATACACCTGCAGGTTATTATCAATTTTATTCACAGATAGGTTAATGGATGATGCCATGAAATATTTTATATAGTATTGAAATTCTCAAAAATTAATTATTTTTTGCCATTTTCAAAAGTGATTTTCTTGGAAACTATTAAGTTTGGGTATAGAACTTGGTGTAGAATATATCTAATACATAAAATGTGCTTGGAATTTTCTATAGAAGCAAACGCAGATCACAGCAGGTTACAATTTCTTTGAAATTTTTTGATAGGTATCTAAAATTGATAAAAAAAGATTTAGAAATATGTACAGGGTGTCCCAATTTGGTCGGTTTTTCTAGGATACGTCAATTTCAGAGCGAGATACAAAAATATGAACTCACTCCGAGGCTCAAATTTCATGAAATCTTGATTGGTGCAAACCGCATTTTGACATCTTCAATCGTTTAGCCGCTAGAGGGCGGTTCTCGATTTTTAGCAATACCTTCATAATTTTTTGTTTATGAAAATAATTGATTTCCCTGAAAACTTCCTATAAGAAATTTTTTAAGCAGAATTCAGTGACTTTCTCAGTTTTTTCTTATTTGGCCCCGATTTCGAGATATTGACCAAAGTCTGATTTTTTTCAATATAGGACACCCCATATGAATATTAATAGCTCATTGGAAAACTCTGGTTTTGCTGATTTCATTAATACAAATTTCGATAGGTTCATCTTTAACAGTTTCGGAGATAAAACATTATTTCGGTTTTTGTCATTAGAAATAATATGTAAGATAAGACTTTATATCTGTGAGGAAAATGAGAAATATCTCTTCCTAACACATTGATTTTT